AAGATAATATAGAAATATTTCACGTATTACTTCTCCTCCAGCACAGTTTATGTCAATATAAATAATAGCGCTGAAACTTAAGGAAATAATAAAAAGTAATAAGGCTAGTTACCTTGATAATTCTACATTAGGGTAATTGCGCCTTCCAGCGTTGATGATTGATGTTTAGCGGTGTAAACATGTTAGTAAGATGTGGATAATTCTTGAGAAAACTTGCTTATCTTTCTTACATTGAGCTTGATTTGTAAAGTTTGATATTTTCCTTTTTAACTCCGTCTTGCAGTACTTACAGTGCTGTTGTAGCCTCACCAGGAGAATTATCCGGCCTCTGAGTAGTTACAGTGTACTCTTGTAGCCTCGCCAGGAGAATTATCCGGCCCCTGAGTAGTTACAGTGTACTCTTGTAGCCTGGCCTGGAACATTATCCGGCCCTGAGTACTTACAGTGTGCTGTTGTAGCCTCGCCTGGAACATTATCCGGCCTCTGAGAAGTCGGTCTTGCATCCACTCATTTCTGAATTTTTGTTAAGTTAGGATGCAATAGCTTAGGTTCGGTTAGGTTGGTTTGAATTAGGTTAAGTTAGGTCAAGTTTTGTATCCATGCCAGGCTATAGGCGCCTGGTGGACCCCGTCAGAAGGGCGCAGCGACAGGTCGGACGCGTGTCAGTTAATACGACAGCCATTTCCGAATTGCTAAATCCTTACAACTAGCAGTTGCCGGCATGTGAAGAGCGGTTTAGAGTGCATGTGTCTGGTCCATTTACTCGCGCGGTTCACTCACTTTGCCTTCCCTTACTGTCATTTCTCCACCAGGAAGAATAACTGTTACCAGTCCGTCCTCCCCGTGCTGTCAGCCAGGGGTCAGATTCACGAAAGCACTTGCGAACGTGTACATCTTTCCTCAATCTTTGAAGGCTTTGGTTAAATTTATTAAACAGTTTACAAGCATGAAAACTTCCCATTCAACTGTTGTTATTGTTATAAACAGCCTACTGGTGCTTCGGAGCTCATTAACTGTTTAATAATTGGAAACAAAGCCGCCAAAGATTGAGAAAAGATGTACAGGTTCGTAAGTGTTTGCGTAAGTGCTTTCGTGAATCTGGCCCCAGGTGACTGGGGTCACGGTACACCGCCAGCATAGTCAACTGTGACATGGGAGACTGTGGTCACGGTACTGCCCAATACTAGTAAGAGCCCCGACCATGTAAACAAGAATGCGTAGCGTCAAGCCAGAGCGCGCGTGTTGACATTCTCATGTCGTCCAAGGCGCAACCCGTTCTCGCAAATTCGTAAAGTCAATATTGACTTATTAACTACGTGCATAGGTGATATACTAAACATAATAGATACCCTTTAAAAGATTCATAGAAAACACCGACCTTACCTAACCTTGTTAGTATCTTAAGATAAGCATCTTATTGCTTCGTAATTACAATTATTACTTAACCTATACCTATTATAGGTTAGGTAATAATTGTAATTACGAAGCAATAAGATGCTTATCTTAAGATACTAACAAGGTTAGGTAAGGTCGGTGTTTTCTATGAATCTTTTTAAGGGTATCTATTATGTTAAGTATGTCACCTATGCACATATTTAATAAGTCAATATTGACTTATTAAATTTGCGAGAACGGGTTGCCAAGGCGACCTCTAATGCGGATACGCGTAACGTCATCCAGTCTGACTTTTTCCCCCAAACTGTAAAACCCTCGTGGCAGAAGTGTACTTTCTATTAGCAAGTGGTTATTAATTTTCTCTGTAATTGTAGTACATACTTCGATTACTGTACAACTTGGGGGAAATGAATCAATGTCATTGTGTGTATCATGTTAGGCGTGACGGTCTTTAATGCAGCTTCACTTTCACACTCTCTCCTGCTGTATGTGGTTCCCTTGCTGCTCGCTTACCCTCACAGCCTCCAACCACCGTTTTTACCCGTAGGTAAAGAGCCCCGTCGCGTGTCACGCCAACTTTCCCGTCACGGATCATGTCCCCGAGTGTGGCGGGAGTGTAACCGCTCCCCGGCTCCCTGTGGCGCGCCTTAACACTACTGAATTCATTATATTCACCTGTTTGTTGAGAGTCTGCTCTAGTTGTGGTTATGTGTAGTGAATGTTTTGCTGTTGATTGAATAGAATATTGCAAAATGCTACTCAATGTTGAGTGTATAAAAGTGAAGGAGCAACAATATCAGAGATGGAAATCAAGTTCCACTGATATTTGTTCAATGATTAGAGATATAATTTATGGGAGTTATAGGGTGATAGTTTGTTCCATATGATGGACTGGCAGTGTCCATAGAGTATACTATGATAAGAAGCTATCCACACACTAGAAAATGAAGGGACGACGACGTTTCGGTCCGTCTTGGACCATTCTCAAGTCGATTGAAATTGAAATTGAAATAAGCTTATTGAGGTAAAATACACAAAAAAGGGATGAGGTAGCTCAAGCTATTCTCACCCTGTTCAATACATCGTGTTAATACACACATAGACACACATCACAAACAATAAACATATTACCAAACATTCTGAGAGATAAACATATACATTTCCTCCTTTACACAAGTAACAAGTCGATTGTGTCGAGACAATTGTTCCCATTGTTTACACTTGAGGATTTGAATGCGCATCCTGTCAGAGTTTCATTTCCTGGCGCTGATGTTCATGTAGTAATGTGTCATTATGGGGGCGAGAGAGACACCGACGTCTGTGTTCTACTGAGGGAATTGTTGTCGTGACTGGAGTCTAAAATGTGGCTAATTGCAATAATGAAGGACGCTCTGATTCGTCCATTTAGGACTGGACGGTTAGAGCGACGGTCTCGCCTCATGCAGGTTGGCGTTCAATCCCCCCGACCGTCCACAAGTGGTTGGGCACCAGTCCTTCCCCCCCCCCTGTCCAATTCCAAATTCTTATCCTGGTCTCTTCCCAGTGCTATATAGTCGTAATGGCTTTGGCGCTTTCTCCTGATAGTTACCTTCCCTCTGACTCAGTCTTTCATTTTCGTCTCCTTAACTTTGAGACAATGTGACATAGGCCTATAGCCCGGTAACCCATCGGGCCTGTCGAAATCAGGACGTCTGATCTCTGGTCTTAGGCTTAAGGCGTATCAGCAGCAGGAGGGTTATTAAGGCCAACACAAAAGTTTACTGAATAAACCATTAAATATAAACTAATTTACTCGTGATCTCCCGATCAGAGGTCAAAATCAAAGTACATTTTCGGTGCATATGTTCCGAGAAGCTTGGTATACCTCTGAACATAACCGTTGTCACGTCTGACCTCGAATTACGGGCTATTCATGCCCGTGCCACCTCTTGGGTGGCTTAATCTTTATCAATGTGACCACGACATATATACAAGGGGAATATTGAGTGGTGTGGCACGGGAGACATCTCCCGTCACGCAGGGTGCAGTCGCACCTCCACAGATTTCCAGTATCATCTATTGATACTGGTAATGGCTTAAAAAGGGCCACCACTTACGGGCTATTCATGCCCGTGCCACATTTTGGGTGGCTTAAACTTCATCAATCAAGCAGTGGTGTGGACCAGCAGGTTAGCCAACTCCCCACGGGGTCGGGGCGGGGGCGAACTAACTCCTGTTCTTATGGAAGAGTTACAAGGGAGGACATGGCAACAGTGACTCGAGTTAACATTCCGGAGACGCGTGATTACTTTGGCTGTACCACGGTGGTGGTACGTGGCTTGGTTATACACCCGGCCTGACCCCTCCTTGCCTGCCGGCCAGGCTCACCCCTTCCTGCTTACTGTGCTCCCTGGGGGAAGACCTCCAGCTGGCGCTCCCTGGGGGAAGATCTCCAGGTGGGGCTCCCTGGGGGGAAGACCTCCAGCTGGCGCTCCCTGGGGGAAGACCTCCAGCTGGCGCTCCCTGGGGGAAGACCTCCAGGTGGCGCTCCCTGGGGGGAAGACCTCCAGCTGGCGCTCCCTGGGGGAAGACCTCCAGCTGGCGCTCCCTGGGGGAAGACCTCCAGGTGGCGCTCCCTGGGGGAAGACCTCCAGGTGGCGCTCCCTGGGGGGAAGACCTCCAGGTGGCGCTCCCTGGGGGGAAGACCTCCAGGTGGCGCTCCCTGGGGGGAAGACCTCCAGGTGGCGCTCCCTGGGGGGAAGACCTCCAGGTGGTGCTCCCTGGGGGGAAGACCTCCAGGTGGCGCTCCCTGGGGGGAAGACCTCCAGGTGGCGCTCCCTGGGGGAAGACCTCCAGGTGGCGCTCCCTGGGGGAAGACCTCCAGGTGGCGCTCCCTGGGGGGAAGACCTCCAGGTGGCGCTCCCTGGGGGAAGACCTCCAGATGGCGCTCCCTGGGGGGGGAGACCTCCAGGTGGCGCTCCCTGGGGGGAAGACCTCCAGGTGGCGCTCCCTGGGGGGAGGACCTCCAGGTGGCGCTCCCTGGGGGGAGGACCTCCAGGTGGCGCTCCCTGGGGGAAGACCTCCAGATGGCGCTCCCTGGGGGGGGAGACCTCCAGGTGGCGCTCCCTGGGGGGAAGACCTCCAGGTGGCGCTCCCTGGGGGGAGGACCTCCAGGTGGCGCTCCCTGGGGGGAGGACCTCCAGGTGGCGCTCCCTGGGGGGAGACCTCCAGGGAGCGCTCCCTGGGGGAAGACCTCCAGGTGGCGCTCCCTGGGGGAAGACCTCCAGGTGGCGCTCCCTGGGGGGAAGACGACCTGGATACCATGATGCGCACCCCACCGCCGCAGGCTGGTCGAGGTGGTGGTGGTGGCTGGGTCAGTACTCGACCAGAACACCCGGGCACCAGCAACAGCAGCACCACGTAAGAATGAACCGGAATATAATTCGTCAATATAACCTTTGTATAAACACCGGCAATGATGGTACATTCGTCTTCCACCAAGACACAAGTGTAACATGTGTTGCATGGTGTTTGGTTGGTGTGTGTGTGTCAGTGGTGTGTGGTGCTGTGTTTGTGTGTAGTCTCTGAGTGGTGTTTGGTGTGTGTGACTGTGGCTTCTCTTGCAGCGCTGCTGGACTCTCTGGCCACGGCCACAGAGACAGAGAAGTGTCCGGGCAAGTGTTTACACTCCCTGGCGGCCCAAGTCTGTCACGAGGTGGTCCAGGGCGCGGACCTCTGCCCTCCAGGCAAGGCGTGCTGCCGCCCCAGGAGTCCTCCAGGTGAGTGCACCCCTCCAGGTGAATCCTCCCTCCACCCCTCCAGGTGAGTCCTCCCTCCACCCCTCCAGGTGAGTCCTTCCTACACTCCTCCAGGTGAGTCCTCCCTCCAGATGAGTCCACCCCTCCAGGTGAGTCCTCCCTCCACCCCTCCAGGTGAGTCCTTCCTACACTCCTCCAGGTGAGTCCTCCCTCCAGATGAGTACACCCCTCCAGGTGAGTCCTCCCTCCACCCCTCCAGGTGAGTCCTCCCTCCACTCCTCCAGGTGAGTCCTCCCTCCACCCCTACAGGCCGGTCCTTCCTCGACTCCCAACCCTCACCTTCTCTGTAGCTATTTTTGTCACGTCTGTTATTACTGGTCATTTGGAATCGTCTTGACCTGACCTCTGGTGGCCAGATATAACAGTTTCCTTTGTAAATATTAAGTGGTGTTTGTGTGGTGACCTACACACCTGCTCTCCTGCTGGTGTGTGGTGACCTACACACCTGCTCTCCTGCTGGTGTGTGGTGACCTACACCTGCTTTCCTGCTGGTGTGTGGTGACCTACACACCTGCTCTCCTGCTGGTGTGTCTCCTGACCTCACACACCAGGCCGGCGGGAGGGGGGGGGGGGCAGTCAGTGTATAGGAATGTTGGCGGTCGTGTGATAGGCCTAGTACCATAGTGTATAGGCCTACCCCAGGCTATAGCCACTTATATACATGCTCCTTAGCTTTAGTTGCCCATTGTTTCTGCCTCTACAGGGGATCGAACCCGGAACCACGAATCTACGAGTCCACTCAGCTGTCAGGCCCCTAATGTAATGTTAAATAAATATATATATATATATATATATATATATATATATATATATATATATATATATATATATATATATATATATATATATATATATATATATATATATATATATATATGTCGTACCTAGTAGCCAGAACTCACTTCTCAGCCTACTATGCAAGGCCCAATTTGCCTAATAAGCCAAGTTTTCACGAATTAATATATTTTCTCTAATTTTTTTCTTATGAAATGATAAAGCTACCCATTTCATTATGTATGAGGTCAATTTTTTTTTATTGGAGTTAAAATTAACGTAGATATATGACCGAACCTAACCAACCCTACCTAACCTAACCTAACCTATCTTTATAGGTAAGGTTGGGTTAGGTAGCTGAAAAAGATAGGTTAGGTTAGGTTAGGTAGGTTAGGTAGTCGAAAAACAATTAATTCATGAAAACTTGGCTTATTAGGAAAATCGGGCCTTGCATAGTAGGCTGAAAAGTGCGTTCTGGCTACTAGGTACGACATATATATATATATATATATATATATATATATATATATATATATATATATATATATATATATATATATATATATATATATATATATATATATATATATATATATATAATATATATATATATATATATATATATATATATATATATATATATATATATATATATATATATATATATATATATATATATATATATATATATATATATATATATATATATATATATATATATATATATATATATATATATATATGAGTGTAAACAAATGCATTTTCACCTGGATAAACCCTAACTTGTTTAGCTTTTAAATTTGTGATAGATAATTTTCTGTTTACTTATACTCAGTAAGTATTAAAGTTGACTTATTTCTGACTATCGCTATTGAAGCTTGTATGATATTACGACTGATCTCTTGTTCACTCTGTCACTCTTCCTTTGACTCTTGCTAAAAGACTTTCACTATGTTGTTCTTGAGACCCAAGACTTCTTGCGTAGATATGCCCCATCCCCCCCCCCCCGGGGGCATATCTACGCAAACGACTATGACGCAACACTGAAGCAACCTTTATATACCGTTGATTCAGTGTTGATTCTAACGTTAATTTAGCGTTGATTCTACGTTGATGTAATGTTAATTTAAAGTTGATTCTACGTTTATATAACGTTAATTAAAAGTTGATTATACGTTGATATAACGTTAATTAAAAGTTGATTATACGTTGATATAACGTTAATTAAAAGTTGATTATACGTTGATATAACGTTAATTAAAAGTTGATTCTACGTTGATATAACGTTAATCTTTCGCTGATTTAACGTTACTGGAGCATGTTATAGTCGGTAGATTACAACTCCACAACCTTGTACTCACCTAGTAGCGAGTATGTACTCACCTACTTGTGCTTGCGGGGGTTGAGCTCTGGTTCTTTGGCTCCGCCTCTCAACTGTCAATCAACTGATGCACAGGTTCCTGAACTGATATACAGGTTCATGTGTGTGTGTCAACAGCTGCCACAACATCTGTATAACCCTCGTGTTAACTCCCCCTCACAGGTGACTAATACCAGTATACTAACCTCACAATACTATCATTCTGTAGTGGAGATAATACCTTATATGTCTATGACAGTGTCAGACCACGGAGGAAAATTGAAACAGGAATTTCCTTAAGTACTTTCATATATTAATACATCTTCAGAAGGAGTGTATATGTATATATGTGTGGATAACTAAATCAGATATACGGAGTGTAGAAATGCAAGACTAAAGATTAGTTATGTACCGACCAGAGGTTTTTATAAATTATTATATTTTGAGTTATTTTTTTATACTACAGTTACACAATTGAATGGATAGATATTGCAGGACATTTGCAATATATAGGACTTTAACTAGGCTGTTAGAATGCCTTTGTAAGACTATAGACGCTCGTGTATATAAACTCTTGACTGCAATAAATGTTGATGACTATAGCGACGCTAAAACTTCCTCATCCTTAAATTATAAAGATGTTAGCTGTGGTGGGTTACATATACAGTCACATATAATCAGCTGTAACAGTTTGTGGGAGTAGATAATGTTGTAGCTAGTCATTTTCCAAATGTTTTCTTCAATGACTTACAAAAATGAGACACTTTGGATCAGTGCCGGTATATCTTACCTGTCTTACCTGACCGATGCATCACCTCACCTCTTTATACATAGTATACATGTAACTCATCCCGCCAAAGTAGCGGAAGGAAGATCCACTGCGATATGGTACGAACAAGCCACTGGTTACTCCTCTTTCAAGCCTGGCAAAAAGATAACCAGAGACATTGCAGTAGCCATACACAGACTCAGACTTGGGTACAAGTGCTGCTGGGAGGTAATGAACCCAATAGTTAAAGAGTGTCACATCTGTGAAACTGAAGCAGAGGCGCCACTATTGCACTACTTACTGGAATGTGAAGCTACTGAACCCCTGCGCATCAAACTCAACATTAATCCAACAACAGCAGCTGCATTAGGTGCACATTCCACCGCGACTACAATGATTAGAAAAGCTGTTGAGGAATGGGACTCATAAGTGAGCATTCTGCATCTACATCCGCCACCAAGATAATGTTAATAAAACAAGATTAAAACCCGTGCACAAAAACAGAAGCGATAAATAAGCAGGGAAAAAGGAGAAGTCCTCTCCTCCATTTTAAACTTAGACCCAAATATCACAGGAAAAAGGTTATCATGTATAACCAAACTCAATTACGGGCTCACCATAGCCCGTGCTACATGGACACTTCGTCCTGAGTAGCTAAATCTTTAACAACAACAACATAACTCATCCCCCGATGATGGCTATGACTGACACAACTCCTCTCCATACCATAATATCCTGAACACCACAAGGAGGCACAACTCTCAACACCATAATATCCTGAACACCACAAGGAGGCACAACTCAACATACCATAATATCCTGAACACCACAAGGAGGCACAACTCAACACACCATAATATCCTGAACACCACAAGGAGGCACAACTCAACACACCATAATATCCTGAACACCACAAGGAGGCACAACTCAACACACCATAATATCCTGAACACCACAAGGAGGCACAACTCAACACACCATAATGTCCTGAACACCACAAGGAGGCACAACTCAACACACCATAATGTCCTGAACACCACAAGGAGGCACAACTCAACACACCATAATATCCTGAACACCACAAGGAGACACAACTCTCAACACACCATAATATCCTGAACACCACAAGGAGACACAACTCTCAACACACCATAATATCCTGAACACCACAAGGAGACACAACTCTCAACACACCATAATATCCTGAACACCACAAGGAGACACAACTCTCAACACACCATAATATCCTGAACACCACAAGGAGACACAACTCTCAACACACCATAATATCCTGAACACCACAAGGAGACACAACTCTCAACACACCATAATATCCTGAACACCACAAGGAGACACAACTCTCAATATCCCGCTTGGATAATTGTATTCCAGCGTGGGAAGTGGAGACTTCATCTTCCTACAGATATAGCGGCTTTGGAGAAAGTTCAGCACCGGACGATGGATGATCCCGACAATTTTTTCACAAGATCAGATGTAACATAAACAAGAAGCAACAGTGTCAAGCTAAACAAGCCACTATGTAGGACTGAGAACAAGAGATGCTTTTCCACCCACAGGGTTATAAACCCACAGAACGGCCTACGCGCAGAAGCCGTATATGCCAAAACTGTTGAATTTTAAAATCCAGCTAATAAAAATCATCAGGATAAATGGGGGGGGGGGGAGAGCTTTGACAAGTGTTAGTGGCTCACAGGTAAATTTTGGTAATTCAGGTAAATATCCTGAACTCGAGTACACATATAATTTTCCCCCTGAACACTAAACACGATGGTCATGATACATGGTGATGTATCGGTAGGCCAGACTCATTGTTGACCTGATGCATGACTGTAGACTTGCCTGCAGCTTTAGACTGTAAGGGAGTGAACCAGCCCTGTAGTGGTGGTATCTGTAACCTCCCACACATCTGTAGCCTGTAGTTACATTGTACCTGTATACTAAATGCCCTTTTTACTATATGGTAGATCATCTTAGATCTCAGTAAAGGACGACCTTGTACCGTGTGCAATATATTTTTTAAATAAATAGTTCGTTATTATTATTAATATTATTATTATTACCCAATCCATCCTCCTGTTTTGATGGTACTTTTTGTAACTATGTGGTGGAAGGATGATGATTTATGACTCGTATGTTCCCTTCAGTAAGATTATATACCCCGTCTGTTTAAGAACTTCTGCTCTGTTGAATCTAATGTGTTGGATATCTACACAAGGAGATAATCTGATAGTTTGGCTGGTTAGCTGACCATTGCTGATTCAAACCAACATGCTATAGCCACACAGTCATTTCAGTTTGTGTAGTACATGGCGGGCCATATCACTAACAAGGCAATTACGTGACATTGCAGGCGAGGCAGCCGGCGAGACTGAAGCCATCGCAGACTCTACAACGGAAACAACAGAGGACCAGGAATATGAGGTTAGTACCGTACAACACAAGGGGGAGGCTAAGCACCACCTGTCTTCCTCTTATTACTAACACTTCCTGCCTAATAGAGTTTGTTGAAGGGCAGAACTTCAGTTCCTAAGCCCTGACTTTCCAACTAGTCATCTAATCTAATACTGTGGCTCATGACCCTTAGATTTCCTGAAATATCTGTTTTTAAAACACTGGCTGGAGTTACTCGAGTGCAGCTAGGGAGGATAAACTCTGCATGTCAACTGCATGTATCGTCAAGAAGAGTGAAGGGACGACGACGTTTCGGTCCGTCCTTATCGACTTGAGAATGGTCCAGGACGGACCGAAGCGTCGTTGTCCCTTCACTTTCTAGTGTGTGGTTTGGTCAACATATTTCAGCCACGTTATTGTGACTCCTCGTCTGCATCAAGAAGAAGAGTTATTCTACTATTTCATATTCTACTTCACTGCATTAATAATAATAATAAATAATAATAATACACTAACGTACATACCTATGTACGTCTTTGTACATAGGTATGTACAAAGACGTACATAAATTGAGGCAGAAAAATACATAGGTATTTGTAAGTATTTATATATATACAAGACGGTACATTAGATTGTGAGAGTACATACCATTTGTGTTCTTACATTCTTGTGAAGCCACTAACACACAGCGTTTCCGGCAGCCAAGACAAGGTAAGACATGTACGTTGCATGAAGTCACTAATGCGCAGTGAGCATTCCGGCATAACATCAGATTAGAGTTAGGGTGTTTAAAAGTTTGAGGACGCAACATGAAAAGAAGTCTGAGCAAATGAACAGGCGTCATTAGGGAATACTTAAAATTAACGGAGATGTGGGAACATAATTGAACTGTTGAAGGTTTTGAAAATAATTCACAATTAAACAAGAGACATTCATAAACAACAGTTGCTTTTACAATTAATATGAAGTTACTAATTTATAAAAGTAGAATAAGAAAAACAGCATGCAATGCTTTATGGTATATATAGGAATAACAGTATTTAGTAGCATCAAATATGAGGTAAATAATAAGTAATGTTCACAATTACCACCAAAACACTGGTTCACATGTAGGACCAGAAAAGGTAAGAAAAATTGGTTACTTAAAGTTAATAACGTAATGCTTAGTTTTTCTTGTTAACTGGACAAGATAAGGACAATTTTTTAATCTCATTAGGAAGGTCACCTCACAGTTTAGGACCCTTGATTTGCAGAGCGTTTTTGCTTTGGTCAAGTCGCACTCCTGGGATATCAAAATTATAATTGTTTCTCGTGTGATGTCCAAGGGTTCCGCTACAGCCTTCTAGGAAGAGCTTAAGGTCAGGATAATACTCCTGTGCAGTGCTACTCCTGCACTGCAGAGGAGTAGCAGTGCAGTGCAGAGTTTTATACATGTATTATAATAATAATCATAATAATAATCATAATAATAATAATTATTATTATTATCTAAAAGAATTTGTGTACAAAGAAGAATAATGTACAATTGTCGGGACAAGAGTTAAACATGCTAATGAACCCACTAATTGCCTAAAGGGTTTCGGGCAAAACATAAAATAAATAGACAACAAATTTAAATAAGTGTGAGGTGGTAAAACACTTAATACTAAAGAAGTAAATTAACAAAATGAGAACGTCTATGGAAAAATCAATGAATGCAAAAAATGGTGATAATTAAGGATAACAGGCATAGACAATTACAATATGGAGTCAGTAGATGTAGCTTATTTTATTAGATGTAGCTTATTGTACAGTAGTTTATTTACATTAATAACAAAATGGGAAAAAAAAGAAATACAAGGTAAATATAAAAAATATATAAATATAAATATAAAAAAATAACTGGAGTCTCTTATAACATTTTCTTCGGAACATAGACGACTCGTCCTCCTAATAGAACATCGCATTTTTGACGTATACTCTCACCTAAGACCAAAAATCGTCGTACTAGACAATGGTAGCGGCTCGCGAAATTAACATGCTGTTCCGTTTTCTGTTTTGGGTCCTCTGGTAGGTCAAGATAAGGGGCCAGATTCATGAAAGCACTTACGAACGTGTACATCTTTCCTGAATCTTTGACGGCTTTAGTTACATTTATTAAACAGTTTACGAACATGAAAACTTCCCAATCAACTGTTGTTATTGTTATAAACAGCCTCCTGGTGCTTCAGAGCTCATTAACTGTTTATTAATTGGAAACAAAGCCGCCAAAGATCGAGAAAAGATGTACAGGTTCGTAAGTGCTCTCGTGAATCTGGCCCCCTGGGGCACTATAATACGACACTTTCTTGACGTTGGGAAACCTGAGGAAGACGGGCTGCAGAACATAAGATTAAAATAGTAATTTAGGGTGTTAGTGTTGGTACACTGTCGTTGTTCACCCCTGCTAGTACACTGTTGCTCACCCCCTGTTAGTACACTGTCGTTGTTCAACCCTGCTAGTACACTGTTGCTCACCCCCTGTTAGTACACTGTCGTTGTTCAACCCTGCTAGTACACCGTTGCTCACCCCCTGTTAGTACACTGTCGTTGTTCACCCCTGCTAGTACACTGTTGCTCACCCCCTGTTAGTACACTGTCGTTGTTCACCCCTGCTAGTACACCGTTGCTCACCCCCTGTTAGTACACTGTCGTTGTTCAACCCTGCTAGTACACCGTTGCTCACCCCCTGTTAGTACACTGTCGTTGTTCACCCCTGCTAGTACACCGTTGCTCACCCCCTGTTAGTACACTGTCGTTGTTCACCCCTGCTAGTACACCGTTGCTCACCCCCTGTTAGTACACTGTCGTTGTTCACCCCTGCTAGTACACTGTTGTTCACCCCCTGTTAGTACACTGTCGTTGTTCAACCCTGCTAGTACACCGTTGTTCACCCCCTGTTAGTACACTGTCGTTGTTCAACCCTGCTAGTACACTGTTGTTCACCCCAAGGACATGAGTAAACACATTAACAAAGAAATGCAAGAAATTAGATGACAATAAATGTAGAAATTACATAATACTTGGTAAATACAAATTTAAGATAAAGAGGAACACAAATATAACTTATTAGAAGGATAAATGTGAGTGAAACTAGTTACATGTAATTATTATTTATAATCAATGCCATGATATTAAGTAAATATTTGTTAGTCTCTCTTTTAAGAGTGGTTGAGGAGCACTCTGGCAAGGATGAGCAATGACTCGATACTTTACATATTTAAGGATTTCAGTAACGGAGCCGAGTACTGTCTGGGACTGGAGTTGGTGATAGCTCTTATTGCTGGTTTATGTTAAGTAATTAGTGGTCAAAAGTAATTTTGGGTTGTAGATCCCCAGGCATGGGGGCTTGAAGGCGTATTGGTTACTCTTTTTACTTCTAAATCATATACGTATTATCTTAATGTTTGGTAATAAAATGTGTTATACTGAGCGGCGGTCCAGATTATCGATATGTATATGTATTTGTGTAAATGATTGTATATGTATATATAACATTAACACTTGTGTAACTAGCTTCAAAAAGATTGTCACTTGCTTATTAAAACGAACTATGGGGTTCCTGTACCCATTATGTGCCCCCGTAACCCACTCCACCACCACCGCCCACAGGATGGGGTGCATGATAAAAAAATTGAAATGTGTGTGTTACAGACGACGTCGGTGACGGAGGCCCTGTCGACGTGGGGCGGCATTATAGACGGAGAAGAGACGGTGGTGAACGGGGTAGAGGCCGGAGGAGACCCCTCACCCACGCCCCAACCCTCCACGGACCTGCCCCTCCGTCGCCACACGCCCGACGACCCTTCGCCAGAGGCAGGAGCAAAGCCCCTGGAGGAGAAGAAGCCCCTGGAGGACGACAAGAAGCCCCTGGAGGTGGAGGAGAAGCAGAGTATAGAGGAGACCAAGTCCGTAGACTTCGAGGTGGAGGAGACGGGCACTACTGAAGAGCCGACCACCATTCCTCCCAAGGCCCAAGCTTATGCCCCCTCCAGCAGTGAGTCTCACTGCTCTATAATGTCTCTTTTCTTCTTAATATATTAAGTGATACCATGATTTGATATATTTTCAAGCCCGTAAATATATATAAGGAATGATAATTCTTACTGCAATAATTTTATTTTATAAATTATTCCTCAGTTGTGTTACTATTAATATTATTTTGCAAATTATATTATTTGTAGTTTATATTTTCAATTCTTTAGTTTTCATGTTGTTCACTCCTGTTAGTACACTGTTGCTGTTGTTCACTCCTGTTAGTACACTGTTGCTGTTCACTCCTGTTAGTACACTGTTGCTGTTGTTCACTCCTGTTAGTACACTGTTGCTGTTGTTCACTCCTGTTAGTACACTGTTGCTGTTGTTCACCACTCCTGCTAGTACACTGTTGCTGTTGTTCACTCCTGTTAGTACACTGTTGCTGTTGTTCACTCCTGTTAGTACACTGTTGCTGTTGTTCACTCCTGTTAGTACACTGTTGCTGTTCACTCCTGTTAGTACACTGTTGCTGTTGTTCACTCCTGTTAGTGCACTGTTGCTGTTGTTCACTCCTGTTAGTACACTGTTGCTGTTGTTCACTCCTGTTAGTACACTGTTGCTGTTGTTCACTCCTGTTAGTACACTGTTGATGTTGTTCACTCCTGCTAGTACACTGTTGCTGTTGTTGTTGTTCACTCCTGTTAGTACACTGTTGCTGTTGTTCACTCCTGCTAGTACACTGTTGCTGTTGTTCACTCCTGCTAGTACACTGTTGTTGTTGTTGTTCACTCCTGCTAGTACACTGTTGCTGTTGTTCACTCCTGTTAGTACACTGTTGTTGTTGTTGTTCACTCCTGCTAGTACACTGTTGTTAATGTTCACTCCTATTAGTACACTGTTGCTGTTGTTCACTTCTGTTAGTACACTGTTGTTAATGTTCACTCCTGCTAGTACACTGTTGCTGTTGTTCACTCCTGTTAGTATACTGTTGTTGTTGTTCACTCCTGCTAGTACACTGTTGCTCACTCCTGTTAGTACACTGTTGCTGTTGTTCACTCCTGATAGTACACTGTTGCTGTTGTTCACTCCTGTTAGTACATTGTTGTTCACTCCTGTTAGTACACTTGCTGTTGTTCACTCCTGATAGTACACTGTTGCTGTTGTTCACTCCTGATAGTACACTGTTGCTGTTGTTCACTCCTGCTAGTACACTGTTGCTGTTGTTCACTCCTGCTAGTACACTGTTGCTGTTGTTCACTCCTGCTACAACTGTAGTACATTGTTGTTGTTGTTCACTCCTGTTAGTACACTGTTGTTGTTGTTCACTCCTGTTAGTACATTGTTGTTGTTGTTCATCCCTGCCAGCACACTTCCTGTTCACCCCTGCCAGTACACTGTTATTGTTCACCCCTGCTAGTACACTGTTATTGTTCACCCCTGCTAGTACACTGTACCTGTTCACCCCAGCCAGTACACTGTTATTGTTCACCCCTGCCAGTACACTGTTCCTGTTCACCCCTGCCAGTACACTGTTATTGTTCACCCCTGCCAGTACACTGTTATTGTTCACCCCTGCCAGTACACTGCTATTGTTCACCCCTGCCAGTACACTGCTATTGTTCACCCCTGCCAGTACACTGTTCCTGTTCACCCCTGCCAGTACACTGTTATTGTTCACCCCTGCCAGTACACTGTTATTGTTCACCAGGCCTGCGAGTGTGCCCTGGAGTATGTGTGGCAAACCGTATCAGTGAGTACTGCGAGGCAGCCTTGGACGTCAGTCAGCTTTGCCGGACAGGACTTCGCTGCTGTGTTTCCGGTGACCTCTTCGCTGACGTCGATGACCCACCTAAAGAATTTGTCCTTCTCAACCCCAAGAAGTCCACAGTGGAGCCAGAGGTCAGTTGACTGTCAATAATTGATGGAGCAACAGGTCAGCTGGCTCTTATTAATTAAGGGAGCCAGAGATCAGTTAACTTCTCTGGTAATGGGGGGAGCCAGAAACTAGTTGACTTTCATAACACAGTAATGCAGAGAGCCAGAAATTAGTTGACATTCACAGTATTGGAGAGAACCAGAGATTAGTTGACTTTCACAATAATGGAGGGAGCCAGAGATTAATTGTCTTTGTAATTAAGGGAGGCAGAGATTGGCTTCCTCAATTAATATGAGACAGAGATCAGTTGGCTCATTAATGTGTACTAGGATGTATACAATACACATAATGTGTACAGTGCACAGTTCATTTGATGGCGATATATAATAGTGTAAGCTATTTACATACTGTTAGCACTCACTTATCCAAATTCTGCTGAATCAAATATTTAGGTTATCTGGCCAAAATTTTCAAGAACTACACTTTTCAAGATCTACTGTATAGTATCAAACAAGAAGATGAACTACAACAAGACAAGCTGAAGCTCTGATTTTTAATTATATTTTTGATTTAAAGTGTGTATGGAAATTCAAATCACGTTCTTGGTTGTGGTACAAAAAATTGCAAATAAGTATGGTCGTTTTAGGATTTTCCCTGTAAAAATTCTGTTTATTTAATGAAGGGTCCTTTCCATATACATTAGTCCAGATAAGTGAGCTTAGACAATACCATAGAAAGCTACATTTTTGTAATACATATTACATTCAATTTTTCATATATTTTTTATTTTCACCTTTGTGTTTTTAATTTTTCATTGCCTATATCATAAATCATAACCACCTCCTACTTGAATGTCATCATTATGGAATTTGAGGTCTTACTCTGAACTATATTTGATAATTTTTCAGTAACAGACACCAATATGTAGCCATCAATGACATCATCATCCACTCTACCACCTCAATAGGAGTGCCACAAGGCACCATCTTAGGACCCTCTAAATTTTTATATGCATGAATGATTTATCAAATGTCTAAAATTCTTAAACCTATACTGTTTGCGGATGATATTACCTTCATTTTTTCAAATGCCAACTCCACACACACTAAATAATTTTGTAAATAACGAAATAAAACCAAGTCCACTTGTGGAAGTCAACGAACAAACTCATTAAACTTAAAAAAAAAAAAAAAAAAAAAAAAAAAAAAAAAAAAAAAAAAAATTGTCAAACCAAATACACCTTCAGATAGTGTCAAAATTAATAGTAAAAATGAGGGGAAGGTAACTTGGTTGATACGTAGACAGGAAACAACTTCAGTACTCACATACAGCACCTAGCCAAAAAAAATTCTAAATTTGTTAGTATACACTCAAACATCAGATATTATGTTCCCCACTCAATCTTCTCATACATTACTACTCGCTAATCTATTCCTATCAAACATACGGTATCTGTGCATGAGGTTCAACCACTGCAAACTACCTTAAGCCCATTATCACTCCGCAAAAATCTGCAATCAGAGCTACGTATAACAAATTCTGCCTTCAGACAACACACAGCTCCTCTGTTTAAATCCCTGAACATGCTAAACATACATGCATTCCAGACATTCTCTTGTGCTATTTACACTTACAAAACCTTATTCCTAAATTGTAATCATGTTTTGAAACTCTTCTTGTTAACTGTAATAAAACTCGTGAATATCACACTCAAAATTAATCTCCCTAATATTCCCAGTCAGACTAAATCTATGTAAACATGCCATGCAAATAAGTGGATAAATACATTATTATATCAATCCCTAATTAAAAAAAACTCAACTCCCTAATTAAAAAAAAATAATCTACATAATGACCAATGTATGTACTTTCACAAACCATTTTACCTTCTTGTATATAAATAAAAATAAAATAAAAAAATATATATGTGTATATGTATTTATGGACATAAATCATGGTCCCCACTAACATCATTCAAGACAGCTTTATAATGCCTTCCCAGTTCACTTATTGTTAAGCTACATCATAGTCTCCTCCATATGCACTGTTTCATATCAAGGCATTGATGGTGTGAAGCATTTCTCTCATGACTTCATAAACAATTTCCTAGTATTCTACAATCTTTTTTTAGACTAAATATTGTAATCTTAACTTTTGCAACAGCTTCATCAGAATGTGAAGGAGGAAGAGATAACAAGCACAGAAAGAACCACCAGTAGCACCACCAGCGCCACCACCACCACCAGCACCTCCACTCGCCGCACCACAGTTTACACCCGTCAGCCAATATCCACTGCTAAGCCCAACAGAGATATTCCACAAGAGCTGCGTTGCAAAGGCACTTGTGTTGCTGGCTTCTTTGCCTTCCTCTGTGATGAAGTTGACCGTTCTGGAGTGTGTCCTAGAGGAGGCAGGTGTTGTGTCACTCAGCGACGTCCAACCAAACAAAAACCTTCCACCAACTCCTCACAACCTGTGAGAACCACAACCACAACAACCACCACTACCACCACACCACAGACCCCTCCCTCACGATCACCTCCTACTCCATCTCTACCCCTCTGTCCAGGTACCTGTCTTCCTACCCTTGTTTCATCCTTCTGCAGCCAACCCTCTGTTTTGGTCGAAGCTTCTGGTTGCGAGAAAGGCACTGTCTGCTGTGACAACCGTGCCGAGAATCAGACGCCACTACCAACACCGCCACCTACAAGAGAACCGTACCATTCATCACCACCACCTACCAGAGAACCCTACCGCCCATCACCACCACCTATCAGAGAACCCTACCGTCCACAGCCACCACCTGCCAGGGAACCTTACCGACCACGACCCCCTCCGGAGAGGCCAATCTCACCAACATTTGAGACATTAGCATCACTTTTCACACGTCCCCCTGCACATCACAGACCAATAGAAAATCCTTATAGACCACCACCCATCCAACAGCCACCACCACCTCCACGCCCTCCAACAACCACCACCACTACTTCCACAACCACTACCACTACTACCACCACAACAACACCTGCGCCAACAACTGAGCCACCTGATCTACGAGCTGAATGTCCCGGTACCTGCATACAGCCATTCCTCTCCTTCACTTGTTTTGGTAAGTGTTCTAAACATTATTTGAAATGATAAATTTAGAAAATAGCTTAAATGGAATAAGGTATATCTGATCTCTCCTTGCAGGAAATGCTGAGATGACAGACTTGTTCCTGTGTAGTAAACCAAGCACAGAATGTTGCTCCCCAAAGTCTGCCCTCAGGGATGTTCTTCGATATGAGGAGATTCAAAACACAGCAAGAAATGACACAGTACTGGCTCATCCTTTCGAAGGGTCGTATGTTCAGCCATATGGTGAGCCCGGTTATGAACATAATGTGTACGAGGAGACTCCGTTTGACACCTCAAATTATCCCCCGTATGACCAGACGCCTCACGACCAGTCTTCCTACGAGCCACCCCAATATGAGCCTCATAACTATGACCATCAACCATATGAGCAACAACCATACGAGCATCCACCCTACGAGCACACACAATATGAGCATTCACCCTACGAGCACCCACCGTATGGTCAGCCAGCTAACAAACAACCTTCCTATGAACAGCCACCGTATCAACCATACCAGCCAGAGCACCAACATGAGCGGCCTTACACACCATTGGCAAATGTAACACAAGGTATGTACTGATAACAGTGACTTTATATACAGTACTTGTAAGTTATATAGCTTTCACAACTTTAAGCTTGGCTTGAATTTAATTTCGAGTGCAGTTTTTATTTGATAATATTTTATCTTTTTTTTTTTTAATAATCAGTGTCCTTCTAACCTAAATATTTTTAGATAATTGAGTGTTATTGTTAAATAACAGCTCATCATTGCTGACAATTAGTTGCAGCAGCAAAAAATTGACATGTCAAAAGTCTAGCATGTAAATCACTATTTTAGAACAGATTAATAAACTGATATTTAACAAAATTACAATATAAAGGAATGTGTGAATGATATATTTTCAGTGACCTAAAGGAAAGAGGTCAATTTGTTAGGTGTATACAACTTCGTATAGATTCGTAATTGTATGCACTAAAAATTATTTTCTTGTTGCGTGCAGCACCCTCTGAAGTATTGAGACCTACACCCGAGTCGGCAGTGAGGAACAAATATGTGTGTGGTGTGAAGGGCACACAGAGGAGTGGGCGTGTTGTAGGCGGAGAAGACGCCCTTCCTGGAGAGTGGTGTTGGCAGGTGGCTCTCATCAACTCCCTCAACCAGTACCTGTGTGGTGGAGCACTGATTGGCACTCAGTGGGTCCTTACTGCTGCCCATTGTGTCACCAAGTGAGTGAGAAATGCATACCAAGTTAACATTGCAACTTAAAATTGCAATGCCTGATGACCGAGTGGACAGCGCTTGGGGTTCATAGTCCTAAGGGTCTGGGTTCGATCCCCGGTGGAGGCAGAAACAAATGGGCAGTTTCTTTCACCCTGATGATCCCATTTACCTAGCAGTAAATAGGTACCTGGGAGTTAAGACAGCTGCTGTGGGCTGCTTCCTGGGGAAAGGTGTGTGTGAAAATTAGGAATAAGGACGTGCCTGAAACACTATGCATGCTAGTGGCTGTACAAGAATGTAACAACTTTTGTACATATAACAAAAAAATACAATTTGGTTGTCAGATTTTATAACTAAAGTTTCATGGAGCTTGTAATTGTGACATGAGTACCCTGTAGGTTTATTTGTTGATCTTTGCAAGGCTTTTGAAACTCCCAGCCATAATAACCTTCTTCCTAAACTGCAACACTAGAGTCAGTTAAAAGTATCAAGAATAATAACTGAAGAACATAAGATTAAGGAAAAGAATGATGACAAATAATAACTTAAGAACATAATATATGGAAGTTGCAGAAGAACTATTGGCCCATATAGGGCAGCTCCTATTTATATCCACTCAAGCTCATTCGTATATACAGTACAGTATATCTGATCTACACATGAAAGAATCCAATGATCTCACATCTTTATTATAATAATAATAAAAAAATTTTATATACTGTACATAATACTGTAATAATATGCAGTGGTTTAAAAATTGTTCCAAAGTACAGTACGTACGCATATTTATCAAGGCCACTAATACGTAAAGTGTTTCGGGCATGACTTATAATACAGTAGTTCAGTAGGGTAGTATAAAGGTATGATGAGACAGACACTTGATACTGAACAAGAAGGAAGCTAACATAAGCATTGTTCAATTAATTTAGCAAATTATATAGTATCATCTTTTAAGGAGGGCATAATGTTACTATTAACAGGTTCATTTGGTAATAAAGAAATGGTATAGTCTCTATGGCATGCTAGCGGAACAGCCTTGAGGCTTTCATACATTAAACCCAGGGTTTGGGTTAGTTAGATTTGTGACTGACCACAGTCTCGAAAGGGATGCTGGAGAGAATAAAATGTCATAACTAAGGATGTACAAAATTTTAAATATTACTGGAATGTCAGCACTTAATCATCTTCCTCACTCTCATTTTACCATAGCATTGTCCGCTCTGGTGATGCCATATATGTGCGAGTTGGTGACCATGACCTCACCACCAAGTTTGGTTCCCCGGGAGCCCAGACTCTGCGCGTCGCCACCACTTACATTCATCACAACCACAACTCTCAGACGCTGGATAACGACATTGCACTTCTCAAGCTGTATGGCCATGCTGACCTGAAGGAGGGTGTGTGCCTAGTGTGCCTCCCTGCACGAGGCGTTAGTCAGGTGGCCGGCAACAGATGCACTGTTACAGGTTATGGCTACATGGGTGAAAGTAAGTCTAGATCATAATAATAATGATTGGTACTCTGAAGTTTACTTATTCCAATAACTTAGTTTGCACTTTAAAACTGATACAGTATATACTTGTTTTCTAAGTTTTCTATAATGTGTTATTTATTCATGATTTTGAAGAACTTTTGACTCGCTGGACTTTTCCTGGCACATCGTCATTCTCTATAATGGGGCTGTATCACCTCATACAGTCTCCGTGGTGTAGTGGTAAGACACTCGCCTGGCGTTCCGCGAGCGCTATGTCATGGGTTCGTATCCTGGCCGGGGAGGATTTACTGGGCGCAATTCCTTAACTGTAGCCTCTGTTTAACACAACAGTAAAATGTGTACTTGGATGAAAAAACGATTCTTCGCGGCAGGGGATCGTATTCCAGGGACCTGCCCGAAACGCTACGCGTACTAGTGGCTGTACAAGAATGTAACAACTCTTGTATATATATATATATATATATATATATATATATATATATATATATATATAAAAATATGTGAACCATACATCTAAATTATTAGGCTGTAGTACCTCATAGAACACCCATACATATTTTATAAGTAGACTGCACCCCCCCATAGAATCCCCATACATTTTCACATTATACTACTTGCTAATCTATTCCTATCTATATGATGGTATCTGTCCATGGGGTTCATCCACTGCAAACTATCTATCAGAACTATAACAAATTCTGTCTTCAGCCAACACACAGCCCCTGTTTAAATCCCTAAACATGCTGAACATCCACTTCTTGCACATATTCTCTTATGCTACTTACACATACGAAACCCTATTCCTAAATTCTGATCCTATTTTGAAACTTTTCCTTGATAGATGTAATAGCAATCTGTTTTCTCTATAGCACGTCACACAGGGGTTTACGTATTTCTATAGTCTTAGGCTTAGAGGTTACAGTCAACTCTGTTTTTTTGTAAAAGCATGCAGAAATAGTGTTAATTTTTTTTTAATACTGTGTTGTTGTTACACAGCTGGGCCCATTCCCTTGCGTGTGAGGGAGGCCGAGGTGCCTGTAGTGTCGGACAATGAGTGTGTCAGGAAGATCAACGCCGTTACCGAGAAAATCTTTATCTTGCCAGCTTCCTCCTTCTGTGCTGGTGGGGAGAGTGGACATGATGCCTGTCAGGTGAGATTACTGTACTGTCTTTTCATGTATTTTTAATTGCAGACATACCATTATGTCACCAGAGACTGAAATGTCAATGGCTTTAGAAGGCCTGTGAAGGAAAGTCTTACATTTAGTGCAGCAAAAAGCAAAAATTATTTTTATTTTTAAAATGTGCATAAACTGTATCAAACCCATAGTAAGACAGTTTCTGTTATTATAATCAGTCTCATCAGATTCTTTTTGCGATCTTCACAATGGATCTTAAATTTTCATTTATGCATTTGTAAATAAATAAAGTTGTATTTTGCTTAAGCCTCTGATGTCCCATTGCAGTCACCTAAACATCTTAAGATGTGATCCTATATTATGATGTGGCATGTTGCAGGGTGATGGTGGTGGCCCTCTAGTCTGCAATGTGGATGGATATTACGAGCTAAGTGGACTTGTATCGTGGGGCTTTGGGTGCGGTCGGCAAGATGTTCCTGGAGTCTACGTCAAGGTCTCCTCCTTTATTGGATGGATTAACCAAATTATATCTGTCAACAACCTTTAGGGTTTCATGGCAGCAATCAAACATTCCTACGCTCAAGTATTTTATATGGTTCAAATAGGCTTTCTTGGCAATGATTTCTGCGAAAGGATATTTTCTTCTTTTGGACATAGGTTAAAAAGGGAGGGTTTACAATGCTATCTTTGCTCTGGGTGAACACATTGAAAATTTTGGATATGGTCTAGTGGGTATCTTCAGATAAGACAATATCTTGGAGAGGAATTACGGGAAGTGTGACCTCTGTTTTCCCCTGTGAGGTTTGGTCTGGATGGTCATATCTGTTTGTTGTTGTTAAGTTTTGTTTGTGCTTGTAACCTGTGGCTTTTTCTCCACACAGCATTTACTGAGCAAAAATTACAGAATCCTAATTGAGTTAATGTTCATTAATCTCATTTTTCCATTAGCTGTAGCTTGTCTTAAAATGTTGCTGTGTTCCTGTTGATCCCACTTCCCACCCACACACAAACAAAATCATTCAGACTAATATCTTTAAATTAAAAAATCTATTATCAATTGAAAACCAAAGTTCTCACCGTGAAAAAATACTGTAAGCCATAATAAGCTATAGGGGATATTATTGTTCTTGTTGTTATATTAATATTGTTATATTTATAGTAATTTATTTTTAATATTTAGTGCAAACCCATGAACCATAGGCCACAATGGTGGGGATTATCTGATGTTATGGCATTTGTTTGTCCCAAGAATGTCAAATGATGTGGTGATTTGACAGTAGAGTTTGCTATATCAACTCACAGTTGACATTATAGACAATATTTGTCACATGCCATTGGCAATAGTGTTAAGATGTAATACATATCGTGATGAAGTGTACTCTGTGGTTGAAAGCGTGATTGAGCAGTGATCAGCGTGTGGGAGTGTTTTGGATGAATCGTTGTGTTTTTATGTTTCAGAAACTCAAAACTGGTACCATAACCACAACTTGTATTGACTGACATTATTCACTCTACTGTATTTATTGAAATCACAGTTACGAATAGTTGACTGATAGAATTTGACATTTCATGTTCTAGTTACCAAAGACAGTTTGTAGAAGTCTGAGCTGTAGAATGGTCATGTTTGATGCTTATAATGATTATCAAAAGTAATCTACCACTGATCAAGATTTTGATCAAGACAAACCACTGATAAGACAATTTACCACTGATCGAAATAAGACAAACTGACCATATGATAGAAATAAACTTTGTCAGTGTTTGGGGAGCAACGGGGGACCGAAGCTGCCATGCTTGTGTATGTAGCCAAAGACTTAACTGACTGATTTTTGTAAATATTTATTTGTCTTGTATTTATGTTAACATCAGGGAAAATCACAGCTATGAAATAATAGAATAATGTTTGAACCTTATAATGCACTTTTATTAACAAGTTATTAAAAGGTCTTAAGGACAAAATTCTATTTCTTAGAATATATTTCCTGAACACATAAGTTCATGATGTACATAGATCTTAATACCAATGTAAGACACTGAAATATTCTTAGTTTTTATATCCATGTCTAATACTCTTGCCACTTGTCATCAAGATTAGATACTTGTGCATTATTCATACCTAGTATTTAGTCACTTGTCATCAAGAACAGAGATAAATTGTACAATATCTAAGACTAATAGGTTTAGTCTTTTGTATTATTCAACGAGTCCCAAAGACACCAAGATGACTGAAGAATAATTTTGGATCTACCACATTATTTCCAGTTTATTACTGGAAATATTAACAGCTTATTACCAGTTTCGAGTGCGGCGGACCGAGGCAGGCGCAAAAATGAGGGCTTCAGCCCTCTTCCCTCGGCTATTTATAGCCACCTGTACCGTCCGCGCTGCGCTTGCGGGACGCGCTGCGCAATTGTCTCTTTTTTCCCGCCAGAAACAGCACCGCTTTTCTGCTAAAAGCAGTGTCCATTAACTATTGTACTGTATTCCCAAATCTCACAAGTGATTAACTACAAAAGCATTGATCAGTGAACTCGTGTCTTCTTTTGTGTTGAAAAAACTTGTACTGTGCATTTTAAAGATATCAAAAAGAGATCATTGTTTGGGGGGGGGGGGGTTCATATTTCCTATACAAATTCACATACAGTACCGATACTGTATTTTGGATGACTTGATACATAAATGTTTTCCTGTAAAATAATTTATACTGAAGAAGTGATTACCCTGGTGCTTAGCTTGACTGTATGACTACAGGGCAGGAAATTTGACATCAATGGACTGCTTATAATATGACAATAAACTAGGATGCATATTGTACTATAAGTTGCATTAATCCTACATTAGTCTGTATAGAGTCTGAAACCATCTCTGATGATTTAGACTCTGATTCTGTGCTTTATTCATTCCATTTTATTTCAGGGAGAACATGTATTAATTTGATCAAACATTTGACCAACATATTAAAATCCCAAATGACCTTTAGAGCCCTAAATAATATACAGTACTGCAGTTATGATGTGTATATGGTATCGTCATTTATGTTTAAATGATTTCTAATGTTTAGGACCAACATTTCAATGCCCTTAATGGCAGATCTGTACACTGATTTGATGTTTATAAAGTAGTGTTATATATATACCAACTGTAAGGTTGGTAATTACAATGAGACTTGGCCAACAACTCTGAACCAATTATTAGTCTCTAATATATAACATGAACAGCCACCACTTTATGACCTACACAGTCACTACAGTATAACACAAACACCCACCACTATATAACCTGAACAATCATCACAAGTTAATATAACTACTCACAATCGGGAATCCCGGGCAGGGCAAAAATGGTGGGGTACATTTCCTTTCACCTAATGCCTCTGTTCACCTAGCAGTAAACAGGTACCCCAGAGTTAGTCAATTGTTGTGGGGGTTGCATCCTGGGGAAGGTAAGTAGTTTGACCTTGGGGGTCCTCAGTGTAAGACTTAGGGGGTGTGTGTGTGTGTGTAGCCAGAACGCACTTCTATATATATATATATATAGTTTTTTCGACTACCTATATATATTATATATTATATATATATATATATATATATATATATATATATATATATATATATATATATATATATATATATATATCTGACTTACATATATATATGGGGACCTGGTAGATGTGACACACATCTGACTTACATACATATGGGGACCTAGTAGCCTGGTGGATAGCGAGCAGAACTCGTAATTCTGTGGCGCGGGTTCGATTACCGCACCAGGCAGGAACAAATGGCCAAAGTTTCTTTCACCCTGAATGCCCGTTACCTAGCAGTAAATAGGTACCTGGGAGTTAGTCAGCTGTCACGGGCTGCTTCCTGGGGTGTGTGTGTGTGGTGTGGAGAAAAAAAAACATAATTAGTAAACAGTTGAGAGGCGGGCCGAAAGAGCAAAGCTCAAGCCTCGCAAACACAACTATGTGAATACACACACACACGCGTGCTGCCTGTCCCTAGTAAAATGAATTATATGATATGGCTCTGATAGCTACCACTCAGTAATACGATGTGAACAGTTACCAGTATTTAAATATATTTACCTACCCAATATGGTCAGGGCACTTGACAGCTGAGTGGACAGCACTTCGGATTCGTAGTCCAGAGGTTCCGGGTTCGATCCCCGGTGGAGGCGGAGACAAATGGGCAAAATGTTTCTTTCACCCTTATGCCCCTGTTACCTAGCAGTAAATAGGTACCTAGGAGTTAGTCAGCTGCTACGAGCTGCTTCCTGGCGGTGTGTAACAAAAAGGAGGCCTGGTCGAGGATCGGGCCGCGGGGACGCTAAGCCCCGAAATCACCTAAAGATAACCTGTTGCGCTAGTGTCTAGTTGCCAAAGTTGGAATAGAAAGTCACATTCTCAGTATAATGACTAACTACTAAATGACCAAAATAGTTACAACGATACTGTATATTCAAGTGGGCATTGTTGGTTAATTTAATGTCTGCCTGACTGATATCATCCACTGATGATGGTTGATGTTAATGCACAGTCTCTACTGTATGTCCTGGAGAGCCATTACAATATGGTCAGGCAAATAGTCACCAATGTATGACCTTAATACTCAGCTCTGTGACCAAAAAAGCTACAACTAGTAGATAATGAGGGCAGCCACCACTATATGACCTGGTCTTTCACCATTATATGAAATTGAACAATTGCCACACTATATGACCTGAACAGTGATTCCTATATCAGATTACATGACTATACACTCACTACCAGAGTATATGACCCGGACAGTTGCCACTACAGTATATGACCCTGACAGTTGCCACTACAGTATATGGGTTAACAGTTACTGTACCATTATATAACCTAGGTCGTCTTAATTATATTTACCTGAAGGCCACTAACACATTAGTGGCGTCGACAAGGACAGGAAGTCGGTGGTTTGTCACAGGTTTCCCATTTGTAATGAGGATTTTTTATAGCTCAATTTTAACAATCAACAGTTTGGGCATTTACGACTTCTGTAGGTAGGCAGTTCCATGGTTAATAACACTGGGAAAACGAATCTACTGTTTTCAGTCCTACAGGTGGTTTGTTGAGCTTGAAACCATTGTTAATTGAATGTGTTACATCTGACCTTTCAAAGAAATTGTTTAGATCAACATCCTCCAATTTATTCAATATTTATAAAGTTTCAACGAGATCTGCCCCTGCCATGTCCGGTTTGTAATTGAGGACCTTGTGGCCCCTAGGTCAGATGTAGCTGAACCTAGTAGTTGTCATTATTATGACCTGGAGAGTCACCACTATATTGTCTGACCTTTCATTATATAACCTGGAATTCTGCCACTATATGATCTAGAAAATCAACCATATGACCTGGACAACTACCGCTATATGATCTAGACAGTCACTGCTATATGACCTGGACAGTCATCAATTTATGACCTGGACAGACGCCACTATACGACCTGGACTATTGACACTATATGACCTGGACTATTGCCACTATACGACCTGGACTATTGCCACTATACGACCTGGACTATTGCCACTATATGACCTGGACAATCTCCACTAAATAACATGGACCAATATTATTTCATCTGTACAATTATTACAAGACTTGGACAGTTGCTACATCATTATCTATCAAGTCACTACAGCATGACTTGGACAGTCTCTACATCATTACCGGGACAGTTACTGCAGCATGACCTGGACAGTTACTACAGTATGACCTGGACAGTTACTACAGTATGACCTGGAGAGTCTCTACATCATTACCGGGACAGTTACTTCAGCAATACCTGAACAGTTACTGCAGCAATACCTGAACAGTTACTGCAGCAATACCTGAACAGTTACTGCAGCATGACCTGGACAGTTACTACACCATGACCTGGACAGTTACTACAGCATGACCTGGCCGGTTACTACACCATGACTTGGACAGTTACTACACCATGACTTGGACAGTTACTACACCATGACCTGGACAGTTACTACACCATGACCTGGACAGTTACTACACCATGACCTGGCCGGTTACTACACCATGACTTGGACAGTTACTACACCATGACCTGGACAGTTACTACACCATGACCTGGACAGTTACTACACCATGACTTGGACAGTTACTACACCATGACTTGAACAGTTACTGCACCAGGACTTAGACAGTTACTGCACCAGGACTTGGACAGCTGCTGCAGCATGACCTGGACAGTTGCTGCAGCATGACCTGGACAGTTACTGCAGCATGACCTGGACAGTTACTGCAGAATGACCTGAACAGTTACTGCAGCTTGACCTGGACAGTTACTACACCATGACCTGGACAGTTACTGCTCCATGAACTGGACAGTTACTGCACCATGATTTGGACAGTTACTACAGCATAACCTGGACAGTTACTGCAGCATGACCTGGACAGTTACTACAGCATGACCTGGACAGTTACTGCACCATGATTTGGACAGTTACTACAGCATAACCTGGACAGTTACTACAGTATGACCTGGACAGTTACTACAGCATGACCTGGACAGTTACTGCACCATGACCTGGACAGTTACTACAGCATGACCTACAGTTACTACAGCATAACCTGCAGCATGACCTGGACAGTTACTACAGCATGACCTGGACAGTTACTACAGCATGACCTGGACAGTTACTACAGCATGACCTGGACAGTTACTACACCATGACCTGGACAGTTACTGCACCATGACCTGGACAGTTACTGCACCATGACCTGGACAGTTACTACACCATGACCTGGACAGTTACTGCACCATGACCTGGACAGTTACTGCACCATGACCTGGACAGTTACTACACCATGACCTGGACAGTTACTGCAGCAAGACCTACACAAGTACTGCAGTATGACCTGGACAGTTACTACAGCATGACCTGGACAGTTACTACAGCATGACCTGAACAGTTACTACAGCATGACCTGGACAGTTACTACAGCATGACCTGGATAGTTACTACAGCATGACCTGGACAGTTACTACAGCATGACCAGAACAGTTACTACAGCATGACCTGGACAGTTACTGCAGCATGACCTGGACAGTTACTACAGCATGACCTGGACAGTTACTACAGCATGACCTGGACAGTTACTACTGCATGACCTGGACAGTTACTACAGCATGACCTGGACAGTTACTACAGCATGACCTGGACATTTACTACACCTTGACCTGGACAGTTACTGCACCATGAACTGGACAGTTACTGCACCATGACCTGGACAGTTACTACAGCATGACCTGGACAGTTACTGCACCATGACCTGGACAGTTACTGCACCATGACCTGGACAGTTACTGCACCATGACCTGGACAGTTACTACAGCATGACCTGGACAGTTACTGCACCATGATTTGGACAGTTACTACAGCATGACCTGGACAGTTACTACAGCATGACCTGGACAGTTACTACAGTATGACCTGGACAGTTACTACAGCATGACCTGGACAGTTACTACAGCATGACCTGGACAGTTACTGTAACAAGTCCTGGACAGTTACTACAGCATGACCTGCACAGTTACTGTAACAAGTCCTGGACAGTTACTACAGCATGACCTGGACAGTTACTACAGCATGACCTGGACAGATACTACAGCATGACCTGGACAGTTACTGCACCATGACCTGGACAGTTACTGCAGCATGACCTGGACAGTTACTGCAACATGACCTGGACAGTTACTGCAGCATGACCTGGACAGTTACTGCAACTCGACGTAGACAGTTACTGCACCATGACCTGGACAGTTACTACAGCATGATCTGGACAGTTACTGCAACATGACCTGGACAGTTACTGCAACATGACCTAGACAGTTACTACAGCACGACCTGGACAGTTACTGCAGCATGACCTGCTCAGTTACTACCCCATAACCTGGACAGTTACTACAGCATGACCTGGACAGTTACTGCAACATGACCTGGACAGTTACTACAGCATGACCTGGACAGTTACTACAGCATGACCTGGACAGTTACTACAGCATGACCTGGACAGTTACTACAGCATGACCTGGACAGTTACTACAGCATGACCTGGACAGTTACTACAGCATGACCTAGACAGTTACTACGGCATGATTTGGACAGTTACTACACCATGTCCTGGACAGTTACTACAGCATGTCCTGGACAGTTACTGCAACATGTCCTGGACAGTTACTGCAACATGACCTGGACAGTTACTGCACCATGACCTGGACAGTTACTACAGAATGACCTGGACAGTTACTGCAACATGACCTGTGACCTGTGTGACATGTGTAACCTGGACAGTTACTACAGCATGATCTGCACAGTTACTGCAGCATGACCTGGACAGTTACTACAGAATGACCTGGACAGTTACTGCCCCATGAC